TGGGTAGTATAGACATTTTGATGATGTTAATTCTTCCAATCCATGAACACAGTACATGCTTCCATTTGTGTGTGTCTTCCTTAATTTCTTTCTTCCATGTTATGTAGTTTTCTAAGTATAGGTCTTTGCCTTCTTGGCTAGGTTTACTCCTAGGTACTTTCTTTTTCTTGTTGCTATATCAAATGGGATTCTTTTTCCTGATTTCTGTTTCTGATATTTCATTGTTGGTGTACAAAAATGACTTCAATTTCTGCATATTGACTTTCCTGATGTTTTTCCAAATTCGCTTATTAGGCTGAATAGCTTTTTGGTGGGGTCTATAGGATTTTCTATGTACATTATCATGTCATCTGCTAACAATGACAGTTTTGCTTCCTCCTTTCCAATTTAATGCCTTTTATTTCTTTTTCTTATCTGATTGCTGTGGCTAGGACTTCCAATACTATGTTGAATAGAAGGCCTCAAGTGGACATCCTTGTCTTGTTCCTGATCTTAGGGAGAAAGCTTTTAGTTTATGTCCATTGAGTATGATGTTGGCTGTAGTCTTCTCATATATGGCCTTTATTATATTGAGGTATCCTCTCTGTACTCTCTCTTTGCTGAGTGATTTTATCATAAATGGGTGCTGTACCCTATCAAATGTTTTTTCCACATCTATGGAGATGATCATCTTAACAGTGGTCAAAAGTGAAAAATGAAAAGCTTTGGAAGTAACATACTTTCCTTTCAGCACAAAATTTTTTCGTCTTGTTTTGTTTTTGTCATTTTTTTAATTGTTGCTTAAATACAGTTGTCTCCATTTCCCACCTCCATGTTCCTCCATCCTACCCACCACCACCTCCCACCCTCTGTCCCTCCCTTGATTGACGTTGTCCATGGATCCTTTATATGTGTTCCTTGATGACCCTTTCCCTTCTTTCCCCCATCATCTCCCTCCCCCTCCTCTCTGGTTAATGTCAGTTTGTTCTTTATTTCAATGTCTCTGGTTCTATTTTGCTCACTTTTTCATTTTGTTGATTAAGTTCCATTTATAGGTGAGATCCTATGGTATTTCTCTTTCAATGCCTGGCTTACTTCATTTAGCATAATGCTCTCTAGTTACATCTATGCTGTCATGAAGGGTGGGAGCTCCTTCTTTCTTTCTGCTGCATAGTATTCCATTGTGTAAATGTACCACAGTTTTTCATCCACTTATTTACTGATGGGCTCCAGCACTTGGCTATTGTAAATTGTGCTGCTATGAAAATTTGAGTGCATAGGTTCTTCTGAATTGGTGTTTCAGGATTCTTAGGGTATAATCCCATCCATGGACTTGCTGGGTCAAAAGGCCATTCTATTTTTAGTTTTTTGAGAAAATTCCACACTGTTTTCCACAGTGGCTGTGGCAGCCTGCATTCCCACCAACAATGTATTAGGGTTCCCTTTTCCCCACAACCTCACCAGCACTGGTTGCTTATTGACTGGTTTATGATGGTCATTCTGACCAGTGTGAAGTGGTATCTCATTGTGGTTTTAATTTGCACCTTTCCGATGGCCATAATCCCAGATATTCCATGCAGCAATATTTTACTGGTATTTCAGTAAAAACATAAAGGAAAGAATAAACAAGTCAGGAAGGAATATAAAGGAAAGAATAAACAAATCAGACTTCATCAAAATAAAAAAGTTTCTGCATGGCTAAAGAAAACATCAGCAAAATGAAAAGTGAACTCACTGTATGGGAAAATATATTTGCCAGTGATACCTCAGACAAGGTTATGATCTCAAAAATATATAAAGAACTCACACAGCTCCACTCCAGGAAGACAAATAATCCAATTTAAAAAATTGGCAAAGGACCTGATGGGAGAATTTTTAGTTCATATCATTTTCTCAGTATAAACCTTTACTTTCTTTTGAGCATTGAACTTAATAACTTCAGAATCTCTGAAAGTATAGCACTGTATTTTTTATTATGATGTATATTTGATAATGTTTGTGTGACTTTGTTAATATCAGATTCTAAATTCAAAAGACAGTTTAATCTGATGACATAAAATGCTAGATATACTGGCCATGTGCATGAAAAATTACCTATGTGATTAGGAATTAGCTCATACATGTGAATATGAGTATTTCTGTTGGTATGGAAACCTGGCCCTTAGCATTATATTTCATTACTATCTTATAATTTCACCCATACTATTGGTTTTCTTCTAATAATGGAGTTTAACAGTAGCACAATATTATCACAAAGCCAATGTATAAACAATGAATAAAGTGAAAGGCTGAAGACAAAACTTCTAACCTTCCCAAAGGAGTTTATGACAAGGTACTATGGATGAGATACACCACCCTTCTTGAATCAGAGTATTTTGAGGCCCATTATAAGCATGTCTTTTCTCAAGCTCCACACAGCCTTATCATCTTGTACCTCCACACCTGCTGTACCCCATCTGTACCTTCTGACCCACAAATCAGTCCTTTCTTCCTCCTAAGTCCACACCCAGCACTCAACTCAGAAGCAAGTAATACAGGGTATTGTTTTCATCAGCACACTGCCTTTCTCATCCATATGAGAGTTCTCTTTCTCTCCCCGTCTCTTCTTTTTCATTATGTAATATACAATTAAAGCTATTGTCCTCACGCTAGAAATTATACTTTCTCATGTGACTTTGGATCTACTACCTTACCTAGTAAAACACAAGTGTTCTAAGGAATTAGACAATTAAGACATTCTGATTTGAATGGTGAAGATAATATAGCTGGGACAAATATTTGGCATAAACAAAATGTAGGTGATGTCTAAATACTAAATTATTTATTGCATTAAGTTGACTTTTGTGTCTTTTACTGTGGTGCTTTTATCTTTTCTGAAAAATACTACAGAGTTATATATGCACTTGACTTTCCATGGATATTCAAAATTGTTCCTTTGTGGTTGTTTGCTCACTTGGGGAAAATAGGTCAATTTAATTTTCATTTAATTTGCTTTGCTAAATATAAAACAAAAGTATCAACAGTACTCAGTCTCTAGTTGATGATTAGAATAATGGTTAAGCTTACCAAGCCTAGATATATGGATGGTAATTTGAATATTTATAATCCATAACTAAATAGAAGAAACAGAATTAGCTATATCAAAATAGACATAAATATCATAAGAAGAGTAATATTTGAAACCCAATAAACATGCAACAAAACAAATTGGAAAAAAATACTTTCTTGGTGTTTATCATTTTCATGTTGTCTCCTGTTAGGTGGCTGGCTACAAAAAAGATTCTTGAATGATCAGGATCTATATGTACTTCTTTAAGGTGCCATTCATTTTCACCATGAAATTATGTGTATTTAAATAAATCACAAATCATTATTTTTTTGTTACAAGAAATGTATGGCATTTTATAGCTAATTACCTTGAATACCTAACTCCTGCTTGTGTTACTACTGCCCACATTATGCTTTGATTTTAAATGAAACAAATACATCTGTTTTCTCAAAAAGATTCCAAAATTAGTACTTGCAGAGTACATATTTATTTTTCCATTACTTTTATTGATCTCACAGGCAGAATAGTATCTTGTTCTCTCTGTTACAATTGACAACACTAAAAATTTACAATCTAGTGTCAATATCAATAACTACTAAAAATCAAGCAAGCAATTTACAACTATCTACAATTAAGGAAAATGGATTCCAAAGGCATATAATTGCTATGACAGTAAAATAATATTTATTCATTATGACACAAATAGCCAACATAAATTTAGTACCTTGGGCATTTTCCTAATTATGATAGCTACACAAATTTGAGAAACTAAGGAGCACATCAGCCAGTCACCAAGAAAACACATAAAAGTGCCTATTTTGCTAATAGTGTATGTGTAGCTCCTTAATTTGACATTGAGTGATAGTATCATCCCTTTCAAAGCAGCAGAAATCAATACTACATGTGCCTCAAGCTTTTCTACAGATGAATGATTTGACGAAGATGCCCTCATTTCAAAATTAAGGTCATTAATGTTTATCTTCAGTTGAAACATTTCACAAGGCTTGTTGAACCTAAGAAAACCCAATCTCAGACCACTGGATGAGCAGCGACATCTAGTGGTCATGATATCCATAAACAGACATTTAAAAAGTACAATATAATCTCCAGGGTTGCCATAAACAAGTGAAATGGCCATGATACATCATCTTTAATATTGACAGAGGAATATTTCCAGTGAAGCTGTATCAAAAAATTATAGACACTTCTTAGTACATTTTCTCTAATTGTACAATGATACAAATTTAAGGAAAAGCCAGCACTGGGTTTCTAATCTTTATTCTTAATGAACAACCCTTACATAGGTAAATATCTTTTGCAGATTTTTACAAGTACCCAATTTGACTTCTTCATGTCTGAGTTTCTACTTCTAACAGGGTAAAAACAATATTATTAACTACTGAATTGTTGGGGTCTGCCCTGCCTGGTCTCAAGAAGCTATAACCCCCTGTGATTTAGGCTGAGTGAGAGACCTCTGGACCAGGAGCCACTAAGGAGACAAAACTTATTTCCCTGGCATGAACGTTGTCTGTTCTGTGCCTGGCCTCCAATGTTTGATCAGCTACCCAATGAAGGGTAAGATTTCCCAAGGAGGAAATCGCCTGATAGTCATGATCATGTGGAGGCCTCAGGGAAGAGACTCAGGGGGCTATGGAAGTGAAAGGGTGATGGACATCGACCCCTGTCCCTTCGGCTTTGTCAAAGCCTGAATCCTTGTTCTTAGTTGTGAGAAATCCAAGTCTCCTGACTGCCTTTCTCTCCTCTGCCAGACTCAGGCCTATGGAAATAACAGGGGCGGTGCAGTCCAGACCAGAGTCAGCGGATCCCTGGGGTAATCAAGCCTGGGACATAGAATATACCAGATCCTGTGAGATCTGTTTGCTGGGGGGATGCTATTGAATTAGAATATGAAGGCATGGGCAGGAAACACAACTAGCCTTTTAGGTCCTGTAGTCTTTTTAAGTGATAAAACACAAACTCTCAGCCCAGAATCCCAGCGGGAAATCTACCAGCACCTTTGAAAGCTATCTATTCCTTTTGATCTTCCCTGACATACTGTAATCCACAAACTGTATCTGTATTCTTAATACAAGCCTACTCAGGCAGTGACTCAGGCCACTCTTCACTAGAGAGGGTGGCCATGGCGCTCTCCACTAGAGAGAGTGGCTGTTTCGTTCCTATTTCTCTACAGGACTCGGTTGTCCGTGTGTATGTTTTTCTCGTGTTTCAATGAGCCATCTGCAGCATTCCGCGGTCACTGCAGGCTGGTGGCTGCAACACTGAATAATCAGTTTTGTGGATCTTTTATGGACACACAGATTAGAATGTTCCAGCAACAAATTTCACTCCATACAACAGTACACTGAGGTACAAAATTAAGACATTCTAAAAGCTTCTAATCTATTAATGACTGTTGGATTGAATTTACCCTGGAAATGTTTTTTAATTTTTTATAAACAGAGAACATCCAGTTCATCAGACTTTTCTGAAATAACTATATCATGAAATGGAATTATAAAATCCTTTGACCAACCAAATAAAAACATTGTTTCCTAGTTATGACTGATTACTGTTCAAGACTCAGTCCAGTCTTTGGCTATTTTACACAGGAGTTCTGAGGCACTCCAGACAAGCTTGTGTTGTTCACTGAAAATTTAGTTCCTTATTCTCTGTACATATTTTCTGTCAAAGACTGGACATCGCTCCTAAGGCCTTTCTGCCCAGCTCTAGAAAAACTGTGTCTTCCTGTTACCATGAAAAATTTTCCTGAGCCAAACTGTATGATGCAGCTCTCTGGTTGCTCAGGGGATGCACTGTGATCATCCCTTCCACACGGACTGAGACACCCCCTAAATTGCCTAGACATATATGAATGGATACTGGCGGATGTCACTGTCTAACCATGTATTTCATCTCCCCTAAATTAACTGCCAAGGGCTAAGACTAGAACTTTCTCTTCTTCTATAACCTTCTAAAGCTTTGTTGATTATCATAAACAAATGCAAGTCCTTGATAATAGTTTTTGAGTTAACACATCAGCCTTCCAAATGCAGAATGAACACATGTAGTACTCCAAGATCATCCAGGTCCACTACCCAGCCACACACCATGCTAGTGATGAGTTGGACACTCACCAAATGCTACTTGTATGCATAAAGGGGCTGTAGAGGCCAAGTCCCCAATGACTGGACATAACAGTCCATAGGCACCATCAAATCAGGGAACCATGAAAAGAAAGGAACCATTTTCATACCACTTTAAATTTTCATGTAAATGCTAGGCAGACATGCTCCAAGTGGGCATCTCTCACCCAAGTATATAAGCAGTTAATCTTATTAAATCAGTGCATGTGATTCATATGCATTTAAAGTTAACTCTAAAGTAAAATGTAAATATAAAGGCTGGGGTTTTCTCCAGCCCACTCTGCCTAGTAACTACTTAGTCTTATTTTCCAAGGTTCTCAACTATAAGAGTATGCATGGGCAGTGGGTTCAGGGTGTCACAGTAATGCTTACTAAGGGACCAGGCAGCCCTGAGTAATTCTAGAGGCTCCTGAAAGTTGCATTCTGCTGCTCTGCACACTATACAGTGTAGACTTTATTCATCCTTTCTCTCTCTCCCTTTGCCTCCCTTATTTCTGCCTGAAGCTAGCAATGCTAGCAATAAGCACTGCTGTGCCCTGCTGCTGTCTGAACCCGTGCTGTGTAATAAAGATGACATCTGAATTCCAGGGAGAAATTCTGCTAACTACTCAACACTCAGCATATCTAGAGACTCTCAGATAAAGAGCTATGGGCAATCTCAGGTTATTATTACTGTCTGCTTGTAATAATAACCTCTGCCCCCGCAAAATTCAGAACTTGAACTGGTATTTTGAGTTCAAGGACTATTCTCAACTTATCACATTTATATACCTTAACCTTGTGAGTATTTTAAGGGTAGATTAGTTCAGTTTGGAAAATCAGTAGTCTCAACACTACCAGCCCACAAAAAAAATTTTCATTGCCTCCTCTCCCTGCATAAACTACCCAAAAAATAAAGTAAAATAGCTTTTTACTGTTGCCTGGGGTCATTCTCCCTGGGCCTGGCAGAGTGGACACGGTCAAGTTAAATGGTAGGGTGAATTGCCACCACTGGATCCCCACAAGCCTAGAAATAATTTGGTCTGGGTCTAAGTGCTAATATCATGCTCCCAAGTCTCTTTCTGAACAGCATAAAAGCAAAATATCCCATTCCTGCAAGCAAACCAACCACAAGGGTGGTACCAAGAACTTTTGGGGCCCTTTTCTTGGCCACCCGGAGTGCTGTGGGCAGCACTGCAGAGATTAATATATTGTTGACATGCCCTAAAACCTTGTTAAATGTTTTTCTCTTCAAGACACGCTCATAGTATGTTTCCAAGTTGGGTCGCTTTCCATTTCCCCAGTTTCTCCTTGCAAACCCCAGGAACTTCAGTCGATGCAATGTGACAGCGAGTGAGACATCTGCCAGGGTGAAGGACTCTCCACAGAGCCAAGGCTGGCGGCCCTCTTCTAATCAGACAAAGGGACACAGAGAATTAAGGGAAAGTCTAGCACAGACAGACTCTAGCTGGTATCTTTCATCTCAGTCTTGAGGGCAAGTATGAGCATAGCAGGAGATGAAGGCCATGGCACATTTTCTTGACAATCATACTCAGCAAATAATTTTATGCTAAAACAAAGTCCATGAACATGTATCCCAAGCTAGGGGAGACTTGACATCTGCCAGTTGCCTAAGTCTCTAAGTAAAACTGGGGTCACTTGAGCTTAAAGCCTATCATTTTGTGAACAATACTGAAAAGCTGAGAGCCTCAAAGCCAGAGGAATTAATGGATATTTCCTTCTGGTTTAGGCAAACAGCAGGTGAGCTTTAGGAATATCCATAAAGTTGTTCCTGGAATGTCCCTCAGTGACTGTTGCTCTTAGTTACTTGTTAAAAGCATAAGAGAATCCCTATTGTGAAGCAATGGTCTTTAACTTCATTGTCAATTGGAATATTGAAAGAAGAAGTGGGCATGTGCTTGCACCTGGGCCCTGACTGCATCATGAAGGTTCATAGGTACAATGCATGGGTGCTCACCAGCCAGCCTGCACATCTATACGTGCTCACCCGTTTTATACTTGACTACAGATTAGAAGTTGTCTCCCTGCCTAAGGAAAAAATTAGAAGTAGCATTCAAGTAATTACTCAGGTTATTCAACCAAACTAACTACTATAATTACAAATTTGTGAAATAGGCTAGGTTGGAATTTCTCAACCATAATTTAAATTGTGCAGAAAAATTCTTCAGCAGTCATATTTCATGGAGATACAGACTGACTTGCAATGATAGACCTAGGTTTTGCTGAATTCAATGTTACTGTTGTTATTCTAATTTAAACTGCTAATGAAAACAACAATTACAGAACATTTTTATTGAAATATAAGACTGCTCCTATAAATACTCCAGGAAAAAAGAAAAAGATACAATACAAATGAGAACCTACCTGGGGTTTCTTCATTTCTTCTTTGCAACTCAGTTTCAACCTGATCCAAGACTTTCTCCAACTCATCAAGAATTTTTTTCAAATATTTGACATTGTCATGGTCAAGCAGCTTTGACTAATTAATAAAAATAACTCAATAGATTAGAGCAAAGAAGATATAAACTATTGCAGTGTTGGAAACTGTTTATTCTAGACAACAAGAAGAATTAGAATAACTTCATAAAAGCAAAACTGGGGGGAAATGTGCCCACTGTGAAAATAACCCAGGGTCAGACCCACCATTACTGGCCTCTCCTTGGGGGAGGAGACTCAAGAATGGACTTTCAGCAGGCTTCACTGGATGAATAACTTGAATCACAGAAGGCTCAGGGGCAAGGGAGAAATCTGAATGCAGTGAAGTAAAGAGTGAGTGGAAAGTAAGAAGTGCTTGTGTGCAGGTGATTGGTTTCTTCTGAGAAGCTCCTTAGGTAAGTGAAAGGAAGATGGGAAGTTGAGAGAAGGTGACGTGTTGATACTTGCTACATCTTTACTGTGGGAGAAGCTGGCACAGTAACTGATGAAGCACAGCCCTGCCCCTTAGGAGGCAGACAGCCACAGACAGAGGTCAGCCTAGGCCTGAATGTGGCAGAGTACCCAAATGACAGAGTCCTCAAATATTTAACTAACTTGCTTTTACACTTTACAACTTTCCTTGGCAACCAAGATGTGCAATATCTGCTTTTTAAGCAGTTGTCATTAGGTTTGAATATCAAACATAATAAAAAAAATTCTTAACACACAGCATAAGCCAAAGGCGAATTGTGTACTGGTGACTTCTATTTAATAGAAGATGTTCTAAAATAGTGATACTTTACAAAAGGTAGAACGTTTGTACAAATAGTGGTTGTCAGTTGAGGACAGCCTGGTTTACTTACTTTAAGTCGCTTCTGTTTTGCAATGTATGCCTCTTGTAAATCTGGGTTTTCTTCAGCAAGTTTCTTCAGTTCAGATTCTGTGTTACCAATTTGGCCTGATAATGGAATCATTTTTGGAATAGAAAATTATTTCCTCCCTTCTATGTAAGAAACAGAGAAACTAGATGGTAAGAGTATGAGCTCGGGATTCATGCCCTGCCTCTGCCTCAGTCATACCCTCTCTGTGGACCCTTTAGCATGGAGCTACTAGAGTATTGGCTGTTCAGGGTGAGGGTTTGATGGAAAGTGCTGCAGAAATCACTTAGGGCAAGGCCCAGCATGTGGTAAGTGCTTGGTACGGGGTACTGGTTCTACCTTTCAATATCTTTCAAGTTTTCTGTAAGGAACTTCTACATGAAGAGAAGGGAAAAGCCACATTTTTAAAAAGTATATAAACTCTAGGTTACAGAGTTATATGTATCAGAATACTTGTTTCAAATCATACATGAGAATTTATGAAGAGAAGGAGGGGGAACAAAAAGGTGAGAAGAAGGAAGAAGCGGGGAAGGGAGTAGAGAAAGAAGGGAAGGAAAGGAAGAGGAGAAGAACAAGGAGGAGTGGTATCAAAAAGCAAGAAAAATAACATAAGAAAATGATAATAAAAGTAAGGCATGGTTTTTTGGAAAGAACATAGTTTCTAGATTTAGAAGATGTAGATGTGAGTGTTCCTAGTCAGACACTCCCAGAGGTTGACCAGCCACCATCCTCAACCTTCCTGTCCCCAATTATTGTGCCACACAGCACCAGTCCTTCTGCTCTGCTCCTCAGGTACCAACCCTAGTCCATCCTCAGGACAGGTCAGGAGACAGGTGGATATGTCAACTCAAGCTCTGTAATTCTGCAATCACTGAATACAGAGGTAGAGTAAAGGTTAGACAGCCTGTAGTTCAGCTCCTTCACATAATGAACAAAAGGCAAGGACCAGAAATGCAAGCTCAGTTGCCTATATTCCCCACAGATCCCAGCCTTCCTAATTCCCAGTCTATCTGTCCATGAGAACATGTTGTGGTCATTACTTTTCCATGGGGCACTCTTCTGAGTTTTGTCCAAACTTGACCCTCACAGTCAAGAGCTAGAAGATAAGGAACTATAGACAATAAATGTACAGCTGAATAGCAGCTGAAGCACAGATTAAGCTGATTGTGCATGGATTGATCTATAATGTGATGTCCATAGAGCAAACTCAGTTACACTGTTCCTGTCTCCTCTTGATGATCATGAGATATGCTATGTCTCAAAATGAATTAAAAGAATCTCAAGAGAGAATCCAAGGACTTTAAGATGTTTACATACTGCGAATCCTTGTTGTTGCATAAGCTGGGATCATGGAGTCCACAGTTAGCTCAGGATGTAAAATGCAGCCATGTGTATAAGCATCCATTGGCAAGGAGTCGAGCAGTTCTCGGTAGTGTTGTACCCGTGGATAATACATGCTTCCTTTATCAGGCATTAACCTGGGTGTTTTTTCTAAAGTGCACACAGAAATACATATACAAACATTAAAGTTACAAATGAAGTGCTACATCAAAAGCAAAAACAAATCCCCCGACTATCTCATTATTAACATCTTCACTATTATATCAAAGCATTTAAAAGATATCTCCCCAGTCCACATATTTGAAACTTGAAATGGCCTGATGTATGAGACCCAATTCCAAATCATGATCACATTGGCATTCTTATACTTCTCTACCTTACAAATTACTACCCAACCCTCAGGGTCTAGGTCATTGTGCCAGTTCATTCACAAAGCATTCCCTGACCTTCTCCAGCTACCACCATCGGACTGGGTCAGGTGTGCCTTCCTCTGCACACACAGAGTACTTTGTACATACTCTATTACAGCCCTCATCCCTCTACTTTTATCTTTTTGCTCCATGAGTTCTCTTCAGGGTCAGGAACCTGTGGCCCAGCGTTTAGCATTATTCCTCGTATGTATGAAGCACTCAGTAAAGTTTATTAGGCCCTTGGTAAAGTTTGCTTAAGAATGAAAGCTCATTATAGAAAGATATTCAAGGACTACTCTTTTCTAGGTTCCAATTAATACCAAGAGTGACCCTGTTGATGCTATGTGAGTGTGAAATGACAATCTTAATGGAATTTCTAATATTTTATGTCTGGAAAGTGGGTTCTAAATAAATCCTAATTTGCTGGTTACAAACTAGACTATAGACTCCTCGAGGGCAAGAACTACATCTTCTATTGTATCCTCAGTATCTAATATAAATATCTGGCTCATAGTACATGTACAGTACATTTTAATTAATTAATTAACATATTCCCAAATTTCTAGTTATTATAGAATATAGCAGGCCTACATATTCATGGTTTCATTTGCCATGGTTTCAGCCACCCACATTCAGCCACAGTCCAAAAACATTAAAAGTTTCAGAAATAAATCATTTGTAAGTTTTAAATTGCACACTGTTCTGAGTAGCGTGATTACATCTTATGCTGTCCTCCCCATTAGCCAGTTAGTATCCATGTCAGACAGTTAGAGTATCACAGTGCTTGTGTTCAAGTCACCCTTCTTTTATTTCATAAAGGTCCCAAAGCCATTCACATAACTTTCATTATGGTGTATTATTATAATTGATCTATATTATTATTGGTGTTGTTAATCTCTTTCTATGCCTAATTTATAAATTAAACTTTATTATAGATATATATGTATGTATAGGAAAAAACATAATATATAGGGTTTGGTACTATCTACAGTTGTAGGCATCAACTGAAGGCCTTACTTTTCAGGTACTATCTAAGAATGATAAAGATGAATCACGTGACCCAAAGGCCAGAGCAATGAATGGCCCTTTAGAATCATTTTCTACTTCTGACTATCAAACTACCCTGAAAAATGCCAACTAGCTTATTCCAACAAGTGAAAAGAACCACCTCAACGTTATTGATTCATTTCTTAGTTTGGGTTATTTATGTAATTTAGAATCATTTTTAGCATCACTTGCTCATTGATATGATTTGACAATTCAGAGTTGGTTGCAGAGCATTCCAGGCAAGATCTCATAATGCCAGACCAAGTAGAACGAGCTTTTGAAACCATTAGGCTATTTCTGATTCTCTAAGAAAATAGATGATGGAAGTTACTTTTTAAACCTGCTAGGGAATCCAGTTCTGAAGGCTGCATTAGAATCATCAAGAATGGAGTTTCAGCTACACACTGCCTGTCAACAGTAGATTTACCCAACTACAGCACAATTCCTTGCTGATCTTTCAAGATTTCAGTGGATTACCAGGATGCCAATCAATGTGTGGTAAATGCTTCCCACTTCCAAGAGATCAGTATGCTGGAAGACTTCTAAGGTCTTTGAAATTCAAAAGAGTTCTTAACTCTTTGTGCACCAGAACCCTCTTCTCAAAATGTTGTTTTTAAATGCATAAAATACAAACACAGGATTGCATAAGAAATTGATTATATGAAAATATAGTTATGAAAGTAATTTTAAATGATAAAATACTAATATGGGTTAGTATTACAACACCTAGCAGCAGGCCTGCCATAATTTCAAAATAGTATGAGCATAAATGATATTTTAAAATATCTGAAATGACGATATGCCACTATGAACATATCTATGATTTCTATTGGTAACAACATCACAGGCACTCCTGATACTGCTGTGGGTTGTGCGCACATTAGAAATGAAAGAAAATAATAAATTTCTATAGGAAATTAGTGAAGATAAGATATAATTTTCCCCCATCTGAGATCTCCTGAATTCTATTCATAGACCACTAAGGGTAAAGTGTGATATGAGAATCCCTAAGCTTCCCAAGACACTCTTAGGGGCTTTGCAATGTCAAAGTTATTTTTATAGTAATTCTAAAAGGTTAGTTGCTTTTTCACTCTTCTCTCCCAAGTTGTCAGAGGCTACATAACATGTACTGACTCCATCATCCTGATAGTCCATTGCTTGTGTGTTTGTGCATTCTTGTGTTTTAGGCATTTCTCCACTTTTATTTCCAATATGGCAGGTATTGATAGATGTGGCCCACACAAACAAACACTCTCAGGTATCCTCAATAACTTTTAACACAAAGGGGCCCTGAAATCAAAAAGTTTAAGAATCACTACTTTAGGTATCTAAGAACCTCAGGTTAACACTATAAATGGTCCAGCATTTTAAAATGCTTCCCAAACAGTTAAATTTGTGGCCACCTGCTCTGGCTGCCTTCAAGTACCAGGCCTGAGGCTTGTGTTCAGGAGAGCATGCCACTTCATCCTGAAAAACAAAGACAGCAGGAAAAATAAGTCTGATTTCTTTCGGGAAAGGTTCCATGTGGCCAGGCCAGAATGCTTCCAAGGAGAACAGATGTTGAAATTCATGAAAATAATGTTCTTCTATGCCATAGGTGGCAAACACAAGATCTGTAGGCCGAATCCGACCCTCCACCTTGTTTTACCTTCCCTGGCACTTTGTTTCTACTCAGCAGCAGCACTAAGCTCCTTGCCCCTAGTGAAGGAGTAGTTACATTTATACAGTCCTAAAATTACATTTGGCCCTTTGAAGGCAACTGCGAGGCTGATGTGGCCCCTGGTGAAAATGAGTTTGATATCCCTGTTCTGTGCCGTACACCATTGCTACCATCTCCTGAAATGCTGTGTCAGAGCAGAAAACATCTGGGGTCCCACATTCACTTCCAGTCTCAGCCTCTCCTGGAAGGCACCCTGACCAGCATCAAATGTGCAACATTCTGCCATCCTTTTTTCACCAAAGCACAGCAGTGTCTGCTGCCTCTGGAAACAGATTTTCCAAACACAATTGGAAATTTCTTTGAACTATACAGTTTCCCTGTCACTTCATCAGATTTTATATTTTCCAATCCTTTCATCTTTGTTATGATACTATGAAAATAAGTAAACAGAACCCTCATTTCAATGGAGACATGAGGCTAGAAGAGAGACTTCTCATGCATGTCACTCAATGCTGACCCCAACAGGAAGAGATGCACTAGCATCTCCAACAGGAAGTGACACTTGTACCTCAGCTGGAGAAGGAAAAGTTTCCTCCCTGCCCAGTAGCAGCTCCACCAATGGGAGGTCACCAGAACTCGGCCAATGAGAAGTCACTGTACTTTGAACATCTGATGTCCTCCAATGAATTCTTCCTTTACAACAGTCCCTCCTGAGTCCATACAAAAGTGTTCCTCTTCTTTGTTTCTCTAAATTTCCACATAGTTCACCATTAAACCACGGGTCCCAAATTGCAATTCTTTGTTGTTCCCAAGTGAACACATTATGCTGGAGAAATAGCTGACTATTTCTTAAAAAGTCAATAATGCAAAAAAAAAAATAAAAAGAAAGAAAAAATTTTCTTGGAATTGCACTCAGTCAACAGGGGAAAAGTAATAGAAGGCTTATAAGAACAGAACAGGGTATCAAACAGCTTTTAAGAACTGGGCAATAAGAAGAGTTCCCAGCACTGGGGAACAGGGTTGCAGTAGTGGAAGCCACAATTAGTGACTAAGCTGGAAAAACAAATAAGTATAAATAAATTAGTTTGCATCAGACCTGACTTCCTAGAAGACTGAGTAGGGGACAAGACTAATCTTGTATTGCACCTGTCCCTGTATTGCTGGTTAGAATAACAGTGGCCTTGAGCCATTTTAAAAAATTACATTCAGTTCCACCAAGAGCAAAAAATAAAAAGGATCTAAGGGCTTAAGGTATACTCTTCCATTATTTTACTAAATACACTCTGATTTCCTACATTCCCCAGTGATGACAGATAAGAGAGGCATTATTGTGCCTGTTATCAAGAAAGACTCCCCCAGGTGTATTTGAATAACTTTCATATCTTCTTTATTAGCTCACTGAAAACAGATTAGACTGCATTTCTAATTGGATCTTTTTGTTGATTTTTTTAATCCCATTTACATCACTTAGTGAGGACATTAGTGTATAAGATAATATGCAGCAAGTAGCTGAACAAGATTGTACTCTTCAACTAGTCATACCACTGGCCATTTTAAAATACAATAATAGTGAACAAATTATGACCTGAAGCAAAAAAGTATGGTTAAAAAATATTTATAACTCAAGGCTCTTTTAACTTTGGTGTTAGAAAGATCAAATCTACACACAGACGAGAAAAATTACATGGCGTTAAATTATACAAGTTCAATAAATGCACCCAGGATTTTTTGAGGCAGCAAATTTAGAGCATTATTTTCAAAAAAATGTATACCTTAAATGTTTAACTACTTTTTATTTAATTGATATTATATTTAAGACTTTTAACAAAAACATCCATAATTAGGGGCAAAAACTCTCTTATTGGTTTGTTCTCATTGTTGAATACACATAGTATAGAACTAGGACCTCCGCATTTTAATACCCACACCTGTCCACAAATATTGGACAAATCAAATAGTAAAAAATAGTTACTTTTTAAAGCCACTTTTATTGGCACAGCATGAGTTTTAAATTTATTATCTTTTCCTTAGCA